ATGCTACTCATTCTTGGAACGGCGGCTCTACTCTCCATCGTCATCGCAGGGCAGGACCACGAGACGCAGCCCCTGAAACCTCCAATACTATCATTAATAACAATAATAATAGTAATAATAATAATGACAAATCTACTAAACCAAAGGCCCTAAACCCTAAGCCCTGAACCCTGAACCCCAAACTTGCAGGACCAGCCTTGCAGACCCCACCCCGCAGCGCAGCGAGATCCTTCAGCAAGGGACAGCCTACGAAGGCCCTTGCCTGCCTTTAGGCTTTAGGGTCATGGTTTCGGACTTCGTTCCCTTAAAACGCGTGCGCATATACACACGAGCTGACTAGCTGCCTAGCTTCACTCTTGCAGCTTGCACAACACATGTCAACCCTTGGCCAAATCCTTGTCGCCAGGATCCGGAAGCGCTTTGAGGGTGTGAACATCCTCAGGCTGCGCTAGCTCAGGACGATCTCCCAGTTTCAGTCGAGCTCAATTGCGAAATATGTATATAAATAAGCATGCATATATATATATATATATGTAGATATATACATACATGTTTGATTTGTATGTGTACATATACACATACATATACACACACATATAATCGATGTGTATATATATATATATATAGGTTATATGTATGTATAGGTATATGTATACGTATATATATATATATATACAGCAGTGAAGACTGCACGCCTGGCACGTTCTCCCAGCGGAAACAACGATGCGACCGCGCTGGCAATGCTAAGACTGCGGGCGGTAACAACATCATAAGAGTCATAGTAACAAGAAGCCAAAGAAATACAAGCCTAGAACCCCCCCCCCCCTCCGGGGCTCGCGCGGCAAAGAGCAGGCTACAACGCTGCGAGGCAAGCGCCGCAAGCGTGGCCTCTCCACAAAAACGCAGAAAAGCCTCCTCCCCCAATAACGCCAGGGTGCTGATGACTTCGTCCGGGCCCCAAACTCTCTACACCGTTATGGTCTTTTGGTTGGAGCTTACGACTAGGAGTGTTCGATCCTCGGCGCGCTGTGAAGGGCTGCCACAGCCACGAATGCCGCTAGCGCCTTCGGCGGCACAGGCTTGTCAGGTTTTGAGTTTAGGTCTTTTTGCGGGGCGTCCCCTGTATTCAGAGCACCTTAGACCTCGGGTTTGGAGTTTAGGTCTCTGGCAGGATTTCGGACTTAGGGTTGGGGTTCCCATGACTTTTGTGTGGAAGAGAACTCCTGAATTCGAACTCAGCTTCCCGAAACTCCAACATCCCTTAAGGAGTATTCCTTGAATCATGCCAGCTATCCGACTTTAACTCAAACAAGCCAGACAAGCAATGGTCAAACCACAGAACTCCACACAACTCTGTCAGAAAGGACCCCTGACCAACAGCGGGATATGGGAGAATGTAGATTATGATAATTCAGCTCGAACGGTTCAGGGCTTCGGGTGAAACCCCAAACCCAAGGGTTGAAGGTTCAGGATTCAAGGCTTGAGGCTTTAAGCAACGTGCTTTTAATCACGAGTGCCGTCACGATACGCAAAGAACACCCCGGCGACTGCAAAATCTCGGAGGTAGAAAAACTGGAGAGAATCTCTGGCAAAGCCCCCAAGGTTGCAGCTGTCGCAATAAACTGAGCCAAAGCAGATATCCCTAATGTAGGAGAACCCCGCCCAGCTGCGCCTGGCAGGACGACCGCGGCACCTCTCGGGTTCTAGCTTTGGGCTTCCGTCTAATGGGTCTGGCAACTTACTGGGGGTCTTGTTAAGGGGTTTAATTTAAGATAGAATAAGTAATAACGAAAGCAAATGTTTGCTATAGATCCCTGTCACGACAACTTAAACCCTGAACCTTATACCGTTAAAGCAACCCCTATAGATCCCTTAAAGGAAGCCTCTTGTATCCCTATGGTAACTTTAATTATATAAGTTCCTCAACAAGAACCCGGCCTAAAAGAGCCAGGGCAGATCGGCCCAAAGATGAACCAATCTCACATGCAGCACCTACTGCTGATGATATAATTAAATCCTGCATTACCCAGAATAAGGAATACGGTCCTTGAGGTAATGCAGGATTTATATCATCAACCGTGTCTCGTAGCCCATTCGGCACCTAAACGTACACCTTAAAGGTAACATCCCTACAAGGAGAAGGCTTCAAAGGCGTGACGTGTACATTGTTGTTGGGTCAATACAAATATTACACCGGCACATATCATCTTATCCAAAAACCGCTGCTGCCTTATGCTATTCCAGTGGTGATGTACTTATATCTTTATCCTACGAACTGTCTTATGAATGTTGTCTGCAATATTGACCAATGCAACCACGCCGTCTCACTTTCTGTTGTTGTAACGTGATTAGTTTGTGTGAAGAAGCTGCGCAGCACTTATTGAAAGCACTCTCTTAGCATGCTGGACAAGGGACCTTTAGGGGTGGACCCCAAGGCGGGTCCCCCCACCTTATGTGTGAGGCTACTTACCAGTGATTTGCACAGTGCGGGGAGGTGGGAGGGAGGGCGGGGCCTCCCGAACCACCCCAACGATTGCTAAACGAACAGATGAGGTGCCGCACCTGGCTTTCACCTGGTGCCCTCCCGCGAGCTCCACAGGGCTTTCGTGATTTATAGCTATATGAATTACAGTTTTGCTATCTTCGTTGGTCCACCGATGTCCTACCACGGCCTCGGCCCTAAACGCTGAATCGATGCTAAATCCCATCTCAAAACCAGCCTGAAAGCCAGGCGCTCGCGACGGCGGAGCCAATGCCAAACGCATGACCTGGTATAACAGCTTAGGGCCTAGGGCTTGTGCGTTTGGTTTGTTTTCGTGGTCCCTCTGCGGAAGGAAGGAAAACAACTCCGTTTCGTGGCTTCCCTTCTTCAAACTACATAAAGCACAAAAGGATCCCTCATAAATATATAATATCTGCTATATATTGTACATGATATACTATATCTGTTCACAGACTTGCTTCACGTTTTGCGCATGTCCGTGCCTACGGTCTTTATGCGTGTGTCTAACAAACGGAGCAAGCCAAGGACTAGGATTTTCGGAAGGTCAAAAAGCTGTGTCGAGTATGTTAATTCGGTAGAGACAACATCTGCACTCAGATTTCAAGCAAGCCCCTAACCGGCCAGGCGGGCACAGTGTAATGGAAACAAGGACGCGATCCGCGTCGGTGATGCTCAGGCCTCTTCGCTTGCAGGGTTTGCACGCTTACGGTAGCACCGCATTGCTTCAAGACAATAAATACGTGCAAAGGATCAGCAGCTGTAATCGTAGTGGTCGTTGTCGTCGCAGTCGTGGTAGCCGTAGTGGTAGTGCAAGTGTCGAAGTGTGGTAGTGTTGTTGTGTTATAGTGTTGCAGTGTTGTAGTGTGGTAGAGCTGTAGTGCTGCAGTGCTGTGGTGTTGTAGTGCTGCAGTGTTGCAGTTCTGCAATGCTGCACTGCTGTAGTTTAGTACTTGTAGCGCTGTAATGTTGTCGCATTGTCGTTTCGTCGCAAGGTAGTGGAAGCGGTGTGGTCTTGGGAGTGGAGTAGTGGTAGTGATAGTGGTAGTGGTCGTGGTAGCAGCAGTACCATTTGTTTGGAGGCTGAGCCCGACACTCTGCACGCAAAACCCGAACCAGAATTACCAAGCTCGACATCCTAAGCACGAAATCCTCAATCAAGAAGCCCTGGACAATCTGCCACAGAATCTGGGCTCAGCCACGCTGCTGCGCTGCAGCGCCCATGGCCTAGGAAGACTTCGAACTGTCTGGCACGTGGAGCTGTGTCATACAAGTAATCTTTACATACATATGCACATCCAGTGATATGTATGTACGGGCACGTATTGTATCTAGACACACATGCATATGCATATACATATACGTATACATGTACACAAAACGACATGTACGAAATACATATACATAGACATGTACATACAGACATACATGCATCCATACCATACCATGCCATGGTATGCCATGCCATACCACACCACACCATACCATACCCTGCCATACCATACATACGTACGTACATGTTCGTACAGAACCAACTAGTAGATACGGATAACTATATAGCAGATGGAGAGGCAGGTTGAGACCGAGTATCCCACGCGCTAAAGAACCAAGCATGACACCTACACCTTTCCAACTCAAGCCTGAACCCCCCACCCCCCCCCCCCCCCCCCCCCCCCCCGCGCCCCCGCCAGACCATACATCCCCGATCCCACAACACCAAAGCCTAATCACAATCCCTAAGCCCTGAGGCCCCAAGCCCTAAGCCCTGAAGGCTGAACCCCCATCTGAATCTTAGTCTTAACACCCCAGCCAGAAACCCCTGAGCGAAATCCGAGGCTGCGGCATCGATGGCCTCGCCGTTGGTGAGTGCTTTGGTGCTTGACCAATAGCCCAACCTTGGGAAGTTCCACGGGTGACCCTGCAGACGACAGAGCCCGGTGTTGGCCGAATCTGCTCAAGCAGCCAGACAGAGACACTCCTCGCATCATCTCATCCTCAAGCTGTGACACCCAAACCTGTTACTTTGAAATCTGTCAAACCGCAGGAAACTCGGTACTTCCCGCCCTACCCTCCCGAAACCCTATAAGCCGCGGGCGCAGTTCCTTCCTCAGCTGGTACGGATGCCGCAGGCGCTCCGGCAGGAAATGACAGCGAGCCATCTAGGGCCTGCGCCAGTCAAGCTTACCAACCTCGCTTTTTGCAACACAGGTGCTGACACCAGACACCCACTTACAATGATCTCTCGTACTTGTTACACTGGCTAGAAGTAAGTTAGGACAATACCAACAACAAATTTTCCAGCATATCTGCGTGCAACCCAAAACCGTAGCTCCAAAACAAAGAACCTGCGCAGACGCACCAGCAGCGATTCTTGTGGTCCTGGTGTTTCCAATATGGCAAGCGGTTGGGGCAGAAGCATGCCGAAAATGCCGAAAATCACGCTCATCAGCGTACCGTAGTCCTACATACAAACAGCTGGTGCCTTCCGAGCCCTTGCCTTTCAGGAGTCCCGTCCCGGTGCAGCTTTGGCCCAGCGTCGAGGTCCCTGCTTAGGCTTCGGCGGCTCCTTCTCTTTGCCAGGCTCTGACCTGGAAGCTGTGTAGCCTGCGACCCTACTGCCACCGCCCATCTCCTTTTCGAGCCGGGCAGCCTTCGCTGCCTTCCGTGCCTGGCTACGCCGGGAATGCTCCGCAATCTCCTCGATACTGAAGAAGGACGCTGGTGGCAACATCGGCAACGGATACCCTTCTGGCCAGCCTGTTGCGTTGGTCTTCCGAGGAGCAGAAGCCGAACCGCCCTTCCGCTCCTTCACTGGTGCACAGGAGGACTTGAAGTACTCGGCAATCTCCTGCCGAGTGTATTGCTTGCGATACCTGGCCTGCAGTTCAGCCAATGTATATGCTTTGCCATCTGCTGGGTCCGTCTTGGCCTCGAGGGGCTCACACGTGTTCTTCCAGTACAATCGGACCTCCTCCAGTTTGTACTGGCCCTTGTACTTCTCCTTCAGGCCCTCCAAGGTGTACTCCCTGCCATCATCCGGGTCGAGCCTCCGCTCTGCGGTTCCTGAAGGAGCAGCAGATGCAGCGCCCTCACGCGCACAGCCCCACCAGACGGCCACCTGGGAGCCTCCGGCGGGGAAAGTCCTCCGCGCCCAGCCGATGCGCTCGCGCTCCTTCGCGAGCGCCGGAGGCCACTCCTCGGGAGCTGATCCCACTCGTGGGGCCTCTTCGGGTTCCTGGGAAGTGGCCTTCCAAGGTTCCCGTGCCAAGTCCCCTGTGAGACCTCGGAGCTCTGGCACCCAAAGCTTGATGTACTCTCCGTCCGGGTCTTGTTGCGCTGCCCAATAGATGGCTTCCAGGGTCTGCAGCCGCGTCCTTGGAGGCCGCAGTGGTTTGGCCTCCTCTTGGATACTGTTGCCGCCGGTGGCACGTGGGACACACGTGAATGCCCAGTTAAACCAGTTGGAAGCTGGCTCGTAGTCGATCAAAGTGGACTCGAACCACTCCGCACCCAGCCGCCAGTCGATGCCCAAGTCACACACCAAGAACCAGGCTGCAACCTCGCGCCCTGCGTGGCAACAAGAACCTGTGGCCTCCAGCTCGCGCATCGAAGCATCCAGAAAGGGAAACCCAGTTCGCCCGTGGCACCAAGGGGCCAGCAACTCGTCCTCTTGAAGCCAGCCACCTGGCGGGTGGCGGCCATAGATGCCCTCAAGCTTGAAGATTTTACTGCCTTTCAGGAGGGCACTGAAGCGAACGAAATCGCGGAAGTAGAGCTCGTGCACCATGCGAGCTGTGCAGTCGGTCTGCCGGCGCTCCTTCTCGTAGCGCTTTAGCTCTGCATAGAGGTACCGGGAGGACAAGCAGCCATGTGCAAGCCAGGGAGACAGCTTCGATTGAGACTTCGCAGCCGTGCTGCTGTGCCCGTCGTGAGGGAAGTTGGTCGCACCGACAAACTGCAAAGCGATGTCGTTGCTCTCAAAGAAATACTCCTCTAGCCTAGCCAAGGCTGCCGTTTCGCCCCCTACCCAAGTGACTTCCGCTCGGTCGTCGGGCTCCGGCGACGGTGCGGCAAGGCCCAGGTCAGTGACGCTGGAGGGCAGCCCCTCGGCACGTGGCCAGTGAACGGGACTTGACTTGGCCAGGTCCACACGCGGCTGCGGAGCCCGCACTTCTACACGCTCAGAGAAGCAACGCCGGTAGCCAGAGAAGCCCGAAGCCCCCTTCCTCCGCACCTCTGCAGGTAGGTCATCGTAGTGGTGCAGCTCGTAGGTCCAGCAGAGCTGTAGTTCGCCGGCACGCTTTGCCTTCAAGACCTCTTGCACCTTCTGCTCCAGCCTGAGCTCCTCAGGGCAGACCTCCCTGGAGGCGTAGCACGCTGCAACTTCGAAGTCATCACAGAGCTCTTCGAAGGCACGGGCTGTCGAGACTCCATGCCGGACGCACAGCTTGTGCCCTGCTGTCTCAAGTCGCTTGCTCAAGTCTGCGAGCGCCTCCAGTTGGAAGAGAGCACGCCGTGCACCGGTGCGCGGGAAGCCGGCCAGCGGCGTGCTCTTGAACCACCGGGGATCGAGCACGTAGAGGTGCAGCACAGGGAGACCTGCTGCATGAGCAAGGCTCAGAGGCTCGTGGTCGTGAGTCCGCAGGTCTGTGGCTTTGAACCACACGACGGAAACCTTCTCCCGCGGCATGGCTGGAGCGGCTGCGTCCTGACCTGGGGACCATGGAACCTTGTGCCACGACCGCGAGAGAAGTCTTCAACGCTCGTGCTGTCGGACTGCTGACAATAGCAGTTGTTGTAGTGGTGGTGCAGCAGCAGAGGTAGCAGGAGCCGCAGGAGTACCAATTAGCAGTCGTCCTCGTCCTCATCGTCGAAGTGCAGTCGTCGTCGCTGTTGCTTTTGCAAAGTACCAGCGCCAATAGCGGCAGCAGTCTACAAAGTACACAAAACTTCACAAACCATATCATGTGCGACCACCAGCATTGGATCTCTTCATGAACGGCCAGGGGCTACCAAAGGCTCAATCCGCATGCATAAACCTTCGAGTGTCACTTCAGGAACTGAAGCCCCGAAGCTCCCTGCCCCCTGAGACTCTGAAGGCACCTCAACCGTAAGAAGTCGCCGCATTCACACACCAGGCCTCCACAACATGTGGGGACTCCTTCAGCGAGTACTGTGCCTCGGAAAGCACGAACGCATACGTGGCTAGGCAGGCAATGGCAGGCAGGACGGCAGGAAGGCATGTAGGCAGCTAGGCAACTAAGCAGGTAGCCGCTTGATAGACAAGTAGACACACCGGAGCGTACAGGAAGAGCATCGACTTCCTTCAATCTACCATGGGTGCCTGGAAAAGTAGAAGTGACATCCCCTTGCCGTCCCAATATAGTCAATTAAGCTGTAATATACCCCAACAGCCTATTATAGTCATTACGGCCCCAATATCAGAACGCCTATCGTAACCCTCACTACAGAGCCCTGGGAAAAGAAACACTTAAAGTAACCCTGCTGCCATCATCAAGGCACTTGTATGAAATTCTTGCAAAAACCCTGTAAAACATCACCTATAAGACCTCATACTAATTATGAAGGCCCCTACATGACGCCTACAGAGGCAGCGGCCAGCGCGGGGTTGGACGCCTCGCTGCCGGGATGTGTGACGGCCTGTCGCAGTGCAACACAAACTCTTTCATGAGAGACGACCTTGATGAAAAGAAAGATGAGGAGTGAGGATGAGGATAGGCAGGGTGAGGAATAGGAATATTAGGATGGAGACGAGTCTTTGAAGGAGCTATCAGATTCGAAACGCCGGAAATCCTAAATCCCATATACTTCCCTAACCCGGGACGCGAACCCAAAGCTCGACCTGAGGCTTTGGCGAGTCTAAGGTCAGTGACCTTCTGCAGCTCGTTCAGAGCTGCCTCGTCCTGGCTTCTTCGGAGTACTGTGTACAACCTAAAACAGACGTATATCTGATATAACATCAAATACAATGTAAAACATCCAACATATGATATACAACTTATAATACGTAGAATATAACATATAACATATAGCGTGTAAAGTAAAAAAAAGTGTTAGAATGTAACATATACATGTATAACACACATAACACATATCACATAACGTGTAACATACAACATATAACGTACTATATATATATATATGTATATATATATATATATATATATACATATATATGTGTGTATATGTGTATAAACATATATATGTATATGTGTATGTATATATATATATCATGTAACATGTGTAAACATGTGTATTAATAGGTTCTGTACGAAAACCATGTAATATATAGGTGGCTTCCGGCCCTCGTTCTTTCGTCGGACTCTTGGTTCATCTTTTGCAATGCTAACAGTCTCCGAGAATTTGCTTATGCGATGGAAGGTAAGCATATTCTACTATAAATATGTACGGACTGTAGGTGTAATAATTGTTCTTCTTCTAGTGCTTCTAGACGCATGGTAAGAAGTCGGTGACCAAGTGCCTGTCCTTTGCCGTCGCCACGGCCGCCCCTAATCGGGAGCATGCGACCTCGCACAGCGGTGTTCGAAGCTTGTTGAGTCTCTCGGATTCAGAGGCCCGTACATCGTCAACGAACAGCATGCTCAGGTGCCAAAACCATTCCTTCACTCCGAAGTACAACACTGAAACATCAACGCCCCACCGCAGGGAACCCGAGAATGTCTTCACGGAATTGCAGGCAAGCCAGGAAATTTTGCCGGAGAAGTCGTGAGTAGCGTGCTTTCATGCTATACAAACCAAGAGCCTGCAGAAGGAGGTTGTCGGCCGAGTTCGGAAGGTCCGTGACGACAGTGCTCCCACCTCAGCAGGCTTTCTTTGGTATTTTCGCTGTCACCCAGCGTGAGTACCCTGAAGCTGCACCTAAAAGCGTCCGAAAGGACCCCACGAGTATCTCGTAGCCCAGCGACGTGCCACGCCCCGCGCGGCAAGGGCTCCTGCTGCTGCGGCCGCCTGGCCCCGAGATCTCCCCACGACGCAGTGGCAAATGACTGCTGTTAATGTTAGTACTATTCTTGTGCATGTGCGTATATAATGCATGTATGTGTGTAGATAATGTGCGTATGTATGCATGTATTCAGTACATATGCACGTACATGCGTATGTGTATATGTCTATGCGTGTATCTACTTATAAAATGTGTACACGTATGTATATGTATACATATGTATTATTGGTTTATTTATTTCTTTATTTATGTATACACATGCTTACACATGTGTGTGTACGTATACATATACACTGCATATATATATATATATATATATATATATATATATGTGTGTGTGTGTATATACATATATGTATAAGCTACATGAAGATATGTATTATATATATATACTATATACAGATATAGATATATAGTAATAGTAGTAATAATAATCCTAATACTAATACTAATAATAATAACAAAATAATATATATATATATATATATATATATATACATATATATATATACATATATATATATATATATATGTGAATGACACTCTTGGCACCTCAGCCCCCGGCCCTTTGCTCGAGCTCTGAGAAGCTCCAGCTTATGCCTCCCGGATTTAGGCGGAGGGTCTTAGGGTTTTAGGGTTTTGGGTTTTGGGTTTTTGGGTTTTGGGTTTTAGGGTTTTGGGTTTTAGGGTTTAGGGTTTTAGGGTTTTAGGGTTTACGGTTTTAGGGTTTAGGGTTTTAGGGTTTTGGGTTTTGGGTTTAGGGTTTAGGGTTTAGGGTTTTAGAGTTTTAGAGTTTTAAGGTTCTAGGGTTTTAGGGTTTTAGGGTTTAGGGTTAGGCGCAGGGGGGCATCACACGAAAATCGACACCCCCCAAGCAGGTTGCCAGAACGTCATGAAGTGGCGTGCTTTCAACTTCATTCACAAGCTTTCACCCGAAACTGATGTGAGGAAGGAGGCCGATCCTGAACCGTATCTCGCAACCCGAAAACTCCAAAGCCCGACACTCTCAAACCCTAATCGTTGACCTTGCTGAGGTGCCAGGATGGCTGGACGAGCTGCACCAGCTGCGGCCTTCAGGTGTAGTAGGTTTGCGATTTCAGTAAATGCATTACAGAAATCTACGGAGTTCTGGAGGGTGCTGTTTATTTGTTGTTGTTGTTGTTGTTGTTGTTGTTTCTGCTGGTGTTGCTGCTGCGGCTGTTTTTGTTGTTGTTGTCGTTGTTGTCGTCGTTGTCGTTGTCGTTGTTGTTGTCGTTGTTGTTGTTATTGTTGCTGCTGCTGGTGTTGTTGTTCTTAAACAGGATGAACGATATTGCTGTCGCTGAGGTTGTTGCCGTTGGCGTTGCCGTTTGCTGCTGCTCTTTGCTGCCGTCACGCGTCGCTGTCGCTGTCGCTGTCACCGGTTGCAATGGCTTTTGCGGCGGCGGTAGATGTGGTGGCGGAGGTGGTGTTGCAGTGGCCAGGCGGAAGTGTGGTGGTGCTGATGCTTCACCGATGGTTTTTGTTTGTTATCATTGCCGATGTGGTTGTTGCTCTTCCACTCATGTTGTTGCGGCTGTTGTTGCTGCGACAACGATAACGATGATGACGATAATGAGTGGTGGATCATGGTGTGACAGCTCTGCCGGCCTGTGTGGAAACCAGCGAGGCCAAGCTTGCGGCAGAACGTCCTCCAGCCTGCAAAACAGGCGAGTCGTTGCGCCCAGGCTTTGAAGACTAGGGTTTGGGGTTTAGGGATTACTTCTCAGGATCCAACTTGGCTAGTTGATTGAGGTTTCCATGTCTGCATGGCTGAACCTCCCCGCAAAAGCACATGTCCTTGGATGCCACGCCCAGCCGCCGCATCAAAACAGCCTGTGCAGCAACTGTGTCGGCAAACTGCTTTTCAACTACGGTCAAGTTGGCTAGCTGGGCATGCAGGACGACTCACGACTCAACCACTGCGGCCAAATCAAGGGCAAGGGTGCTTGACGCAGCTGAATACCACAACTAACGCGAGGAGCAGGCCATTACGTCCGCGCAGATCGAAATCCGGCTTGCACGTGTGTTAATTGCAATCGATCAGTTCAACTTGCTCTACTTGAAGTACGGCGGCTGTCAGCGTGACCGGGTTTTTCTTCGGAGGATCTGCTGCCGTCATTTCGGTGCATGCATGAGGTCCTGATTTGCTTGCAGCTCACAAGAGCCTCAAACAACAGCGACGATAGTACAACCTCTCTCGGAAGCATTTGGCTAGCATCTGACAGGATTTCTTGTTTGTTGCTCGATCAAAGCACCCCCTTTTGACCCCTGTGGAGCACCAGCTCGCTATGATGCTTTTTCCACGAGCCTAGCAACCACCATCACCATCATCACCCTAAACCCTAAACCATGAAGATCCGCAGCATGATCACCGTGACCATGGCAGCACCCTGAACGAAACCCTGAAGTGAAACGGAGACAGAGAAAGAGACAGAGACAGACATGAAAACAATCCATCACACAAACACACACAACATAACACAACACGCACAAAATCAGAAGAAGGGCTCATGCTACGTCACTGTCCCAAGGTTCGGGCGTGGAGTCTTGAGTCCTATGCTCAGGCCTTTGAGGTGTTAACTATGACGACCACTCCTATCCTGGCATGTCGGCAGCTCGGTGATGGTGCTCCAGAACCTGACGTTCTGAAGACTAGCACGCAGAAAAGGCCCTGGCGAAAAGCA